CCGATTGTGTTCGGTCTGCTCAGCCTTAAGGGTTAATGAGAAAGTCGGAGAATGCTGATAGGTGACCATATACTATGCAATCTGATGTGTGCCATTGTCTTTAGATCTACCTGTGAAGGGCCAAATTGAATAGGTGAAGGGGCGGGCTGACCATTGGGGAGCTTGGGCACTGCCCGAGGGCCTGGGGTCAGTAGGGGGCCCCATGAGATGTCCCTGGTACCTTTCATAGGCTTTTTTATGAGTTTAGGCAAGGACACAGGGGCCCCATGATTCCCTATTGCCCAGGGGGCCCCATGAGTTTTCAGTCCGCCCCTGGTTAAGGATGAACCGACTTTACATCAAACTGGAGAAATGTGAGTTTGAACAAACCCAGATCCAGTTCTTGGGATCTGGTACCTTTCATAGGCTTTTTTGGGTGTGATTTGACTGTGGGCAAGGACACAGGGGCCCCATGATTCCCCTATTGCCCGGGGGCCCCATGAGTTGTCAGTTCGCCCCTGAATAGGTGTGTCTTAGTTTTGGTAAATTTAAAGGCGATTGTATAGAGATTGCACAATTAGATTGTGAGGGGCATGCTGAACATTAGGGTTAATGAGAAGGTAGAAGGAGAATGCTGATAGGTGACCATACACTATGCAATCTGATGTGTGCCATTGTCTTTAGATCTACCGGTGAAGCGCAAAGCACCTTCCAAATTGGATGGGTGGCATAGGTGTGTCCTAGTTTTGGTAAATTGTAAGGAGATTGTACAGAGATTGCACGATTAGAGTGTGTGGGGCATGCTCAACCAGGGGTGGACTGACAACTCATGGGGCCCCCGGGCAATAGGGGATCATGGGGCCCCTGTGTCCTTGCCCACACCCAAAAAAGCCTATGAAAAAGCCAATGAAAGTACCAGGGGCATCTCATGAGGCCCCCTACTGAGCCCGGGGCCCCCAGGGCAGTGCCGAGTGCTTGAATGGTCAGTCCACCCCTGTGCTCAACATTAGGGGTTAATGAGAAGGTAGAATGAGAATACTGATAGGTGACCATACACTATGCAATCTGATGTGTGCCATTGTCTTTAGATCAGGGCGGACTGACAACTCATGGGGCCCCCGGGCAATAGGGGATCATGGGGCCCCTGTGTCCTTGCCCAAACTCAAAAATGCCTATGAAAAAGGTACCAGGGGCATCTCATGGGGCCCCCTACTGACCCCGGGCCCTAAGGCAGTGCCCAAGTTTCCAAATGGTCAGTCCGCCCCCTGCTTTAGATCCACCAAGGTAGGGCCAAATTTAATAGGTGTGTCTTAGTTTTGGTAAATATAAAGGAGATTGTACAGAGATTGCACAATTCGATCGTATTCAGTCTGCTCAGCCTTAAGGGTTAATGAGAAGGTAGAATGCAGATAGGTGACCATATACTATGCAATCTGATGTGTGCCATCGTCTTTATATCTACTGGTGAAGCACAAAGGACCTTCCAAATTGGATGGTTGGCATAGGTGTGCCCTAGTTTTGGTAAATTTAAGGGCGATTGTACAGAGATTGCACGATTAGAGTGTGCGTGGCATGCTCAACATTAAGGGTTAATGAGAAGGTAGAAGGAGAATGCTGATAGGTGACCATACACTATGCAATCTGATGTGTGCCATCATCTTTATATCTACCTGGTGAAGCGCAAAGGACCTTCCAAATTAAATGGGTTGGCATAGGTGTGCCCTAGTTTTGGTAAATTTAAGGGCGATTGTACAGAGATTGCACGATTAGAGTGTGCGTGGGGCATGCTCAACATTAAGGTTAATGAGAAGTGTCCTTGAAGGAGAATGCTGAAAAAGGTGACCATACACTATGCAATCTGATGTGTGCCATTGTCTTTAGATCTACCTGTGAAGCGCAAAGGACCTTCCAAATTAAATGGGTGGCATAGGTGTGCCCTAGTTTTGGTGAGTTTAAAGGAGATTGTACAGAGATTGCACGATTAGAGTGTGTGGGGCATGCTCAACCAGGGGTGGACTGACAACTCATGGGGCCCCCCAGTGGGGATCCTTGCCCCTGTGTCCTTGCCAAAACCCAAAAAAGCCTATGAAAAAGGTACCAGGGGCATCTCATGGGGCCCCCTACTGAGCCCGGGCCATTGTCTTTACATCTACCGGTGAAGCACAAAGGACCTTCCAAATTGGATGGGTGGCATAGGTGTGCCCTAGTTTTGGTAAGTTTAAAGGCGATTGTACAGAGATTGCATGAGTAGAGTGTGTGGGGCATGCTCAACCAGGGGTGGACTGACAACTCATGGGCCCCCAGGCAATAGGGGATCATGGGGCCCCTGTGTCCTTGCCCACACCCAAAACCCAAAAAAGCCTATGAAAAAGGTACCAGGGGCATCACATGGGGCCCCCTACTGAGCCCGGGCCATTGTCTTTAGATCTACCTGTGAAGCACAAAGGACCTTCCAAATTGGATGGGTGGCATAGGTGTGCCCTAGTTTTGGTAAATATAAAGGCGATTGTACAGAGATTGCACAATCCGATTGAGAAGGTAGAAAGTGAATGCTGATCGGACAAGATTGGGAAGTATGTGGATCCTTGGAATTGATACAATGTATCTAACTCTTGGAAGTTCAGCGTATGGCCGAGTTCCCATCACCACGAGCCCCTGCTGCAGTCTCCGACATCCGAGAAGTACGCAGTTTGCATGCTTTATGCCCGGCTGGCAGGATTCCTGGAGGTGCGATGGGCTTTAGGTGTAGCAGAAGCATCAGCCTAGACGGGACAAGATCACAGCAAGTCGTTCATCGATAATGGAGGTCTCATCATACAGTGCACAGATTAAGCCCTTCATAGCTAAACGGCTGACATTACAATATAAAGCCATTTACTACACTGGACATCATACGCTCATAGATTTTAGTCCACCATCGATATTTTTTTTTTTTAATTTTCAGATTTAGATGTAACCATGTGCAGCAACTGGTTATTTAGGCCGTAATATCATCAATTTGTATCTCAAAGCAAAAATTTCGATTTTTTTTTTTTCTCCTCCTACCGTTGCGCAGCGGAGAAGCGACCACTGGAGGACACTGTTGGTCTTTTGCAGGTTCGTGTTGAGCTTCTTATCCAAGTTTCTGAAAACACAGAGAATGGATTACACATTTGGATAAAGTGTCCTCAGAAAAATAAGAGAAGCCTTTTATCTGTCTGCGCCGTAACACGATATCCATTGTAAAAAAAAGAAAAGAAAATATATAAATGAAAAAACAAATAATAATAATAATATTAATGTTGAGTTAATGGGAGCGCCGTGCTGGAAATCAGCATTGCACTGTACTAGTGTAGGATATGTGATCGCAGCTAAAATAAAACATTGCAAAAGAAGATCCCATATAATTATATAATTACATCCCAAATATATACAATATATATCCAAGTCTCCTGTCCTGTGTGTGTGATGAGGTTTAATTTCCTGCCCCGGAATATCGTGAAAAGAATTGCCATATTTACTTGTCAAGATGGTTATTGCTAGAGAAATGTTTGGCAGGGTCATCGCCCTTTGTATAAATCAAGATAGTTGGTTTTCCAGCAGTGTGCAATTTCAGACAGACACTGTGTACGTCTCCCTTTTTATACCAAGGTTCCGTGAAACTCCGGGGTTCCTTCAAAGGGACGTTCTGCCTACTGACCGCCAATGTAAGGGACATTCTTCCCACTGACCACCAATGATTCTTCCCACTGACCCCCAATGTAAGGGACATTCTTCCCACTGACCACCAATGTAAGGAGACATTCTTCCCTACTGACCCCCAATGTAAGGGACATTCTTCCCACTGACCCCAATGTAAGGGACATTCTTCCCACTGACCACCAATGTAAGGGACATTCTTCCGCTGACCCCCAAATGTAAGGGACATTCTTCCCACTGACCCCCAATGTAAGGACATTCTTCCCACTGATCACCAATGTAAGGGACATTCTTTCCCACTGACCACCAATGTAAGAAGCATTCTTCCCACTGACCTCCAATGTAAGGGACATTCTTCCCACTGACCACCAATGTAAGGGACATTCTTCCCACTGATCCCCAATGTAAGGGGCATTCTTCCCACTGATCCCCAAATGTAAGGGGCATTCTTCCCACTGACCCCAATGTAAGGGACATTCTTCCCACTGACCACCAATGTAAGGAGCATTCTTCCCACTGATCCCCAATGTAAGGGGCATTCTTCCCACTGACCACCAATGTAAGGGACATTCTTCCCACTGACCACCAATGTAAGAAGCATTCTTCCCACTGACCTCCAATGTAAGGGACATTCTTCCCACTGACCACCAATGTAAGGGACATTCTTCCCACTGATCCCCAATGTAAGGGGCATTCTTCCCACTGATCCCAAATGTAAGGGGCATTCTTCCCACTGACCCCAATGTAAGGGACATTCTTTCCTGACCACCAATGTAAGGAGCATTCTTCCCACTGATCCCCAATGTAAGGGGCATTCTTCCCACTGACCCCCAATGTAAGGGATAATCTTCCCACTGACCCCAATGTAATGGACATTCTTCCCAATGACCACCAATGTAAGGAACATTCTTCCCACTGACCCCCAATGATTCTTCTCACTGACCACCAATGTAAGGAGAATTCTTCCCTCTGACCCCAAATGTAAGGGACATTCTTTCCGCTGATCACCAATGTAATGGGCATTCTTCCCACTGACCACCAATGTAAGGAGCATTCTTCCCACTGACCACCAATGTAAGGAACATTCTTCCCACTGACCCCCAATGATTCTTCCCACTGGCAACTAATGTAAGGGACATTCTTTCTACTGACCACCAATGTAAGGAGAATTCTTCCCTCTGACCCCAACTGTAAGGGGCATTCTTCCCACTGACCACCAATGTAAGAGACATTCTTTCCGCTGACTGACCCCCAATGTAAGGAGCATTCTTCCCACTGACCATCATTGTAAGGGACATTCTTCCCACTGACCACCAATGTAAGGAGCATTCTTCCCACTGATCACCAATGTAAGGGACATTCTTCCCACTGACCACCAATGTAAGGAGCATTCTTCCCACTGACCACCAATGTAAGGGACATTCTTCCCACTGACCACCAATGTAAGGGACATTCTTCACACTGACCCTCAATGTAAGGAAAATTCTTCCCACTGACCCCCAATGATTCTTCCCACCGGCAACTCATGTAAGGGACATTCTTTCTACTGACCACCAATGTAAGGAGAATTCTTCCCTCTGACCCCAACTGTAAGGGACAATCTTCCCACTGACCCCCAATGTAAGGGACATTCTTCCCACTGATCACCAATGTAAGGGAAATTCTTCCCACTGACCACCAATGTAAGGGACATTCTTTCCGCTGACCCCCAATGTAAGGAGCATTCTTCCCACTGACCACCAATGTCAGAGGCATTCTTCCCAATGATCACCAATGTAAGGGATAATCTTCCCACTGACCCCAATGTAATGGACATTCTTCCCAATGACCACCAATGTAAGGAACATTCTTCCCACTGACCCCCAATGATTCTTCCCACTGGCAACTAATGTAAGGGACCTTCTTTCCGCTGACCCCCAATGTAAGGAGCATTCTTCCCACTGACCACCAGTGGTGTCAGTGGGAGGAATAGTGCCCCATTGTTGGTGTCAGTGGGAGGAAGGATCCACCATGGGCCAGATAAAGGCAATCAAAGGGCCACATCCAAGTCTGGTCTGGATACCACTGCTCTGTAGGATAAACTGTAATGCTGACATTACATAATTATAATACATACGGTCAAAAGTATGTGAAACCCCCTTGATTTAGCTCCGGTATTTCCACTGAAGTATACGGTTAATGTTAAAGCATACAAAGACCATTTAGACAATTGTGTGCTTCTAATTTGTGGTAACAGTTTGGTGAAGACCCTTTGCTGTTCCATCATGACTGTGCCCCTATGTACAAAGCCAACTTATTAAAGACATGGTTTGATGATACTGGTATGGAGGAACTCAAGTGGTCTTCAGAGCTCGGAGCTCAACCCTACTGAACACCTTTGGTAGGAAGTAGGACTCCAGTTGGAAGCAGAGGTGGACTGACCATTTGGAAACTCGGGCACTGCCCGAGGGCCCGGGGTCAGTAGGGGGGTCCCATGTGATGCCCCTGGTACCTTTTTCATAGGCTTTTTTGAGTTTGGGCAAGGACACAGGGGCCCATGATCCCCTATTGCCCGGGGGCCCCTTGAGTTGTCAGTCTGCCCCTATTTGGAAGGCAGGTCTTCTCATCAGTACCTGACCTCAAACATGCTCTTTTGAATAAATAGGCACAAATTCACCCAAACACAATCCAAAATCTTGTGGAAAGCCTTCTCAGAGGAGTTGAGCAAAGCAAGGGGGCAGCTTCATATCTGTGAAGGCTCTCATTATCCAGGTCATGGTATATCTAGTAGTAATCAGTCACACTCAATTACACCTGTTCTGTAATGTTGAATATGTTTTGTAGCCTATCCAAGACACTTCTTCAGTTCTAACGAGTGCCAGAAAAATTCCCCTGGCATTGATAGCCACACAGGTAGCACCGATACCTTGATCCAACCACCAAGGAAAGGCAGATGTTTTTCTCCAAAAACTGGATGAAAGTTGTGAACATTGCTGAGCCACCTTGTTCTAGTTAAATAATCACATCCTCTGTGTCAGGAAGGTTTCATAGGTGTCCTTTGATCCTTGGATTTACATGGCTGAAGGTGTGAACTGTTGTTATAATAGAGATGTTAAAACCCATTATGTGTGAAAGACAAGTGGTGTTGGAGCCCCCAGCCCCTGTTCAGTGATGGCTTTTCTAGAATACGTTGATGGTCTTGTCCATGCCTCTTGATAACCACTTGTCCTCTCTGTCCACAATGTGCACCTCACTGTCCTCAAAAATGTCCCTTTATCTAAAAGTGAAGTAAGACTGCTGAGTTTTGACCTGTAGAATTTGGGGCCCAAAAAATGGTGTTGGAGTCCCCCTCCCATTTTGATGATGGCTTTTCCAGAGTAAGCCGTTGGTCTCTTTCATGCCTCTTGACAACCATTGTCCTCTCTGTCCACAATATGCACCTCACTGTCCTCAAAAATGTCCCTTTACCTAAAAGTGTAGTAAGACTGCTAAGTCTTGACCTGTAGAATTTGGGGAAAACAAATGGTGTTGGATCCCCCCTCCCAATTTGATGGTGGCTTTTTTCAGAGTAACCCGTTGGTCTCTTTCATGCCTCTTGACAACCATTGTCCTCTCTGTCCACAATATTCACCTCACTGTCCTCAAAAATGTCTCTTTACCTAAAAGTGTAGTAAGACTGCTGAGTCCTGACCTGTAGAATTTGGGGAAAACAAATGGTGTTGGAGCCGCCCTCCCATTTTGATGGTGGCTTTTCTAGCGTAAGGAGTTGGTCTCTATCATGTCTCTTGATAACCAGTTGTCCGCTCCATCCAAAATGTGCACCTCACTGTCCTCAAAAAAATGTCCCTTTTCCTAAAGTGCAGGAAGACTGCTGAGTCCTGACCTGTAGAATGTGTGAAAGACAAACGGTATTGGAGCCCCACCACTGTTCAGTGATGGCTTTTCCAGAACACGTTGATTGTCTCTTTCATGCCTTTTGATAACCACTTGTCCTCTCTGTCCACAATGTGCACCTCACTGTCCTCAAAAATGTCCCTTTACCTAAGAGTGTAGTAAGACTGCTGAGTCTTGACCTGTAGAATTTGGGGCCCAAAAAATGGTGTTGGAGTCCCCCTCCCATTTAGATGATGACTTTTCCATAGTAAAGCCGTTGGTCTCTTTCATGCCTTTTGATAACCAGTTGTCCTCTCCATCCAAAATGTGCACCTCACTGTCCTCAAAAAAAATGTCCATTTTCCTGAAGAGTAGGAAGACTGCTGAGTCCTGACCTATAGATTCTGTGAAAGACAAATGGATTTGGAGACCCCTCCCTCACCCCTGTTCAGTGATGGCTTTTCCAGAATAAGTTGATGATCTCTTTCATGCCTCTTGATAATCTTGATAACCAGTTGTCCTCTCCATCCAAAATGTGCACCTCACTGTCCTCAAAAAAAGTCCCTTTTCCTAAAGTGCAGGAAGACTGCAGAGTCCTGACCTGCAGAATGTGTGAAAAACAAACGGTATTGGAGCCCCACCACTGTTCAGTGATGGATTTTCCAGAATACGTTGATGGTCTCTTTCATGCCTCTTGATAACCACTTGTCCTCTCTGTCCACAATGTGCACCTCAGTCTTGACCTGTAGAATTTGGGGCCCAAAAAATGGTGTTGGAGTCCCCCTCCCATTTTGATGATGGCTTTTCCAGAGTACGTTGATGGTCTCTTTCATGCTTCTTGACAACCATTGTCCTCTCTGTCCACAATGTGCACCTCACTGTCCTCAAAAATGTCCCTTTGCCTAAGAGTGTAGTAAGACTGCTGAGTCTTGAACTGTAACATTTGAGGAAACCAAATGTTGTTGGAGCCCCCCTTCCATTTTGATGATGGCTTTTCCAGAGTAAGCCATTGGTCTCTTTCATGCTTCTTGATAACCAGTTGTCCTCTCCATCCAAAATGTGCACCTCACCTGTAGGATCTGTGAAAAACAAATGGTATTGGAGCCCCCCCCTGTTCAGTGATGGCTTTTCCAGAATAAGTTGATGGTCTCTTACATGCCTCTTGACAACATTGGCCTCTTTGTCCACAATATGCTCCTCACTGTCCTCAAAAATGTCAGTTTACCTAAAAGTTGTAAAGCAAGCCGACGATCCTGCGGGGATCTTCAGCTTTCTTTACAACTTACCTTTTCGTGGAGCAGGGCCGGTGTCACCCCGTATAGGTTGCATGCCGACGATCCCTGTAGGGTGGATGGGATCTGCAGATTGGGGAGCATAATGGATCGGACTCTGATCCATTATGCTCAATCTGCAGATCCGACACTGACAAGTGTTATCGCACCAGGTGACACCAACCCTAGGGACGCCTCTGGACCAGACCATACATGTATAAAATAAAACTGATTTATAGTCAGGGCTTTTTTTCAGCGGGAACGCGGGGGAACGCAGTTCTGGCACCTTCAGCACTGAATCTATGTAATGGTAAGGGGTACTGGGGTGTGCTGGAGGGTCCTTTGATGCTGGCTCCGAGAGGGATCTATTGTTGCTGGAAGGGATCTATTTTGCATGGGGGTCTATTGTTGCTGGAGGGTTCTATTGTTGCTGGTGGGGGATTTATAATTGCTGGGAGAGATCTACTGCTGAGGGAGGGGTCTATTGTTGCTGGAGGGGATCTATTTTTGCATGGAGGTCTATTGTTGTTGGAGGGTTCTATTGTTGCTGGTGGGGAAATATAATTGCTGGGAAAGATCTACTGCTGAGGGAGGGGTCTATTGTTGCTGGAGGGGATCTATTTTTGCATGGGGGTCCATTGTTGCTGGAGAGTTCTATTGTTGCTGGTGGGAGACATATAATTGCTGGGAGAGATCTACTGAGGAGGGAGGGGTCTATTGTTGCTGGAGGGGATCTATTTTTGCATGGAGGTCTATTGTTGTTGGAGGGTTCTATTGTTGCTGGTGGGGAAATATAATTGCTGGGAAAGATCTACTGCTGAGGGAGGGGTCTATTGTTGCTGGAGGGGATCTATTTTTGCATGGGGGTCCATTGTTGCTGGAGAGTTCTATTGTTGCTGGTGGGGGACATATAATTGCTGGGAGAGATCTACTGAGGAGGGAGGGGTCTATTGTTGCTGGAGGGGATCTATTTTTGCATGGAGGTCTATTGTTGTTGGAGGGTTCTATTGTTGCTGGTGGGGAAAAATATAATTGCTTGGAGAGATCTACTACTGAGGGAGGGGTCTATTGTTGCTGGCTGCTGGAGGGTTTATTGATGTTGACTGCTGGGAGATCTGTTGTCGCTGCCAGAATTTTTTGTTTGGGATGGATCTATTTTTGCTAGGGAGATCTATTGTTGACGGGGGGTCTGTTGTTGTTGGCTGCACAGGATCTGTTTCACTGATTTTCTTGTACAAATTCCATACAAATTACTTGTCACCATAAAATGATACTTAGTTCTGTATTCTCTAAAAGGGGTGGTACTGGAGGGTGGGTAG